CACACACACACACACACACATACATACACACACACACACACACACGGAGCAGTGGGCAGCCATTTTTTTGAGCAGTTGGGGGTTTGGTGCCTTGCTCAAGGGTCTCACCTCAGTCGTGGTATTGAGGGTGGAAGAGAGCGCTGGTCATTCACTCTCTCCACCTACAATCCCTGCCGGACCTGAGACTCAAACCCGCAACCTTTGGGTTACAAGTCCGACTCTCTAGCCATTAGTCCAAGACTGCCCCAAGTTACTTTTCATTGCAACATTTTCATGTACTAATTTGCTTTACTTCTGTTTTTATATTATATTTAGTTTTAATTACATTTTTTTTTTAAGATTTCTAGGCTTAGTTTTAGTTAACAATATCAGCGTCAGTATATTTTAGTACAGCGTTCCATCCACCTTGGTGAAAGAATACAGATGTTCAAGACGGTGCTTCCAAGCCAAAAAAAATATATAAAAAATAGATGTACTGTATGGTTGTGAGTTTGCAGTCTAAATTTAATGTCATGATGAAGGAACATAGGGTGCAAAAAGACTCACAAATCACTGAAACAAAGAAAGAAATACATGAAAACATGAAAAAAAAAAACATGAAAGGTTGTTTTTGCTTCAAGGTAAAAAAAAAAAAAAGTCATTGTGAGAGAAAGTTTTAAATAAATGTAAACTAACTAAATAAATAAATAATTAAAGTTATTTTACAATAAAGATTGTGGAAATATTAGGTTGCAGTTATGAGATATAAAGTCACAATTATGATAAATTAAGATAAATAAAATTGCAGTTGTGCAGTTTACAATAAAATTGTCAAAATGATAAGAATTACATTTGCAGTATTTGTGTTCAAGACTCAGATCATTTGATTCAATTCAGTTGCAACTAATGCATTAGTTGCAATTGATTGACTGATTCAATGAAACAAGTTATTTTGTACAGTCATGTCTGGCTCGAGATATGGATAAAGCTGTAAATTATTTACGTACTCTTGATATGTTGGCTGATACTTAAATCAGTGTAGTTACTATCTAGTTCATCTGAAAACATGTACACTACACGTCAGTTTGGGGTCTGTAAGATTTTTTCATTGTTTTAAAAAAAGACTTATGCTCACAAAGGCTGCATTTATTTGATTAAAAATGCAGTAAAAACAGTAATATTGTGAATTATTATTACAATTTAAAATAACTGTTTTCTATTTGAATATATTTTCAAATGTAATTTATTCCTGTGATGCAAAGCTGAATTTTCAGCAGTGTCACACGATCCTTCAGAGACCATTCATGCTGATTTGCTCCTCAAGAAACTACTCTTATGATTAATGTTTAATGATATGTCATATTTTTTTTTGAAAACTTTTAAGTTCTTTGATGAATCCTTGCTGAATAAAAGTATCGGTTTCTAAAAAAAAACAATTTAAAAAAATTACAATTCTTACTGACACCAAACTTTTGACTGATAGTGTAGTTAAAGTTTTGTTGTACTCTAGTTTTGTAACTGTGATTGTTGCTCTTTGTGCAGATACCAGTGTCCTCCTTGGTGTCATTTGTGGAAGCTCTGGAAATAGGCTACAGCAAGCACAGAAACCCCTACCACAATTTGATCCACGCTGCTGATGTCGCGCAGACGGCACACTATATGATGCTACACACTGGCATTATGGTGAGTGAGTGCTCAGTGAATTGTGCATGCATGTCTTGCACAGACAAACAAATATGACATCTGTTTGTAATCAATACGAGCTGAACGCTTGAGGTCTTAACTTGCAGGTTAATATGCGCAGCTGTTGAAATTCGTTTTGATGATGTTGAATCATGGCAATGATGATTATTTGGGTAACGGCTGTCTGGTTTGCTCTCCTACAGCACTGGCTCTCTGAACTGGAAATATTGGCCATGGTGTTTGCTGCTGCAATCCACGACTTTGAACACACTGGAACGACCAATAACTTCCACATTCAGACCAGGTGTGTGGTGACTGTAAGAAGCAGCCAGTGGTTTCAATGAAGTGTCCCAATTTAAATTAAACTGCCTTAAAGGAATAGTTCACCCAAAAATGAAAATTTAATCACCCTCAGGTCATCCAGCATGTAAATGAGTTTATATCTTCACAGGAACAGGTTTGGAGAAATTTAGCATTACATCACTCGCTCAACAATGGATCCTCTGCAGTGAATGGGTGCCGTCAGAATGAGAGGCCAAACAGGACACCTTAACGATGGATTTGTTTCTTACAAACACACAGCTTTTCAATACGCAATATGTTAACTGATTGACTGGAGTTGTGTGGATTACTTGAGAATTATTGTGATGTTTTTATCAGCTGTTTGGACTCTCATTCTGATGGCACCCATTCACTGCAGAGGATCCATTGGTGAGCAATGCTAAATGCTAAATTTTTCAGGATCTGTTCTGATGAAGAAACAAGCTCAGCTATGTTTTGGATTGCCTGAGCGTGAGACAATTTTCAGCAGATTTTCATTTTACAGTGAACTTTTCTTTTAATGATGGACAGTGTCTTTGTATGAAGGTACCTGCTATGGAAACTAGCTTCAGACTGGCTTTCAAAGACACCTGCATCTACAGCAAATTCTATGATCTAGACATAAGGAAGCTAATATTTAGTAACTAATATGCTTGTTTCTTTGTGTAAATGAAATCATAAGATGAATATTTCATAAATTATATTGAACTATTTGTATTTTTTTATTTGTAATTTTTTTTATTAACTTATTAAATATTTTCCATTATTCATAAATATTCAGGTGAAAGATCAGTGATGTTTCCTGGGTTCATCGGGTGTTTCGGGTCTTTCAACAGCATACACCCTCACCCAAGTGACCCAGCCGGGGGGTGATCAAGCCCTGACCTGCCTCCCAGTAGCGTTTGGTCACGGATCACCCCTTTTCCTTTCACTTTTCCTTTCGAATGCCTCTTCCATTCGATCTTCCCAAGGCACAGTCAGTTCTATCAAAACTAGCTGTTTCGAAACCTCAGATAGAATGATGATGTCAGGTCACAAAGATGTTTCTGCGATGTGTGCTGGGAATTTCAGCTGCTTCTCCAGGTCAACCAAAAGCTGACAGTCCCGTGCTGTATGAAGAAGGCCTGCTGGAGCTTTGTTCTGTGGTGTTGGCTGCTCTCCTTCTTTCACAAACCGTATTTCCTTCCTAGCTCGGTGATGGTGCTTACTGCTTGCAATGGCCTGCAAAAGTGCTACTTATATATATTTGTACTATTTATACAAATAAAACTTTATGGCAAAGTATTAAAATTTTATTAACATTTGTAAAATATTTATAATATTTGAATTTATTATTAATATTTTTAATCTTTAATCTTGAATGGATTTTTTTTTAAAACAAGCTTGTTGCAATCCATTTGCATTGTTACAAATGTGATGCTTGCTTAAAATTTTGCCATATGAAGTTGTCTTAAAAACATAATGATGCTACCTACCATAACAGTGTTTGCATCCAGAGCATGTCTATGATGCATTAAAATGCTGCTTACGTAGGCAGCTTACTATGTTTTGGACCAGAGCCTAGTGTGAAAGCCAAAGAGGGTGTGTGTGTGTGTGTGTAGTAGAGAGAGATAATACACTGGTCACATTCTAACACAGTTTATCTTCCTTCTGGTGGTCTATTGTGGAGCTGAGAGCAGAATTGATCGTGTTTTCTATTAATCTTCAGTGGCAGAAACTTACGTCAGAATCTGCACTCATTTTGGTGCAGCTCTGTGTTGGTTCACATCTGGCAGGACATCTTATTCACATTAATACATGCCAAAGGATCCTTGAGATCCTTTTTACAGCAAAAGGCCTCATTTTGCGTGACAGCCCATGGCAGATGTCATTATTCTGGGAAGTACATCACAGCATTAGCTTTTGCAGCAGACAGAAACCGATGGCAAGGACAGTACTCCAAAATACAGTGATTTTGGAGGAGCGCTCGATCATCAGTGAGTTGTGGGAGACGAGACTTGTGTGATGGGAAAAATGGAGCCATTACTCTCGATATACTGATGTTCAACCTCAGCTTGTAGTTCTCAAATTTACTCCTCGCGAGAATGAAAAGTAAAAGCCTTGGTGAGCATAAGAGGCTTTTTTTTCAAAAACAATAAAAAAAAAAGTGAAACTTGTGGTGTACAAGTTCTTTATTTTACAATATACAGCAGGTTCTTCACATTAGCGTAAGGTTTCTGGGTTCTTCAAAACTCCAGCACATTTCTAATGAAGTAGTGAATAAAATAAAATATTTTTAACTCTTCAAATCCACAGGCCTTTGTTCTTGCATGGAACACAAAAGGATTGTCCAATTTGCTTATTTTCATAAAAAAAAAAAAAACAGGTGAACAGGGCTGTTAAGCTTCAAAGTTACAAAAATTGCATTCATATATTTAAACTGGTGTAACAAAATGTGCCATTGACATTAATTGACACCTAGCCCCAATTATTTTCATAACCAATGTTATGAATATGTAAAATTTTGAATATGTACAAGTGCTGCTGAGATCACAAATCTTGTGTTAAATTTAAAAACAGCTCTTTTTGATCTGTCATGCCAAGTTTGACATTAGTGATGCCAAATTAGTTCTTGTGCATCACATGACTGGTTACAACTTGACAGGTTTGAACAACCGAGGGCAATATTTTCAGCCAAAATGACTTTGAAATTGACGTAATTTCTACACGCCAAACTTCAGAAGACTTGAAAGGTACTGTATGAGTCATATGGTCTGCTTTTATGTTGTGTTTATGGTGCTTTTTGTCCTTTTTGAAGCTTGACAGCCCCTGGTGACAATACACTTTCATAAATAACATCTTTTGTGTTCCACGAAAGAAAGAAAGAAAGTCATACAGACTTGGCATGACGTAAAGGTGACTAAATGATGATGAAATTTTCCTTTTTTGGGTGAACTAACCTTCAAGGTACTACAAAGTCATTGGACATTTTTTTGACTCCTCTTTCTTTGGTCCTGCACAGATCAGAAGTGGCCATCCTGTACAATGATCGCTCGGTTCTGGAAAACCACCACGTGAGCGCAGCCTACAGACTCATGCAAGAAGATGAGATGAACATCCTGGTCAACCTCTCGAAGGATGACTGGAGGTACGCTGGGGTTTGTCTCTCAACGCTGGCTTTATGTCCTCGGACATGCCGTTCCTGTGAGGAATGGAGGATCTGCTCTGGGAAATTGCATGTGCTGTGAGTTGTGATGAGCCGCTGTGTTGTGTTTCCCACAGGGAGCTGCGTACGCTGGTGATCGAGATGGTCATGAGCACAGATATGTCCTGCCATTTTCAGCAGATCAAGACGATGAGGAACGTGCTGCAGCAGCCGGAGGGGTGAGTGACGCTCCTGCTGTTCTCTCATGAGCGTGTGTGAACATGAGGGCGATAATGAATGAGTGTGATGGCGTGTCGCCTTATGAAAATGTGTCATACTTCTTGAGTAGTACCCATTAGGACTGGGTGGTATGAGATATATACTGAGTGATGAAATAAATGCATCAAGACTAGAGACTTCTATTCATTCATTAGTTATGAATTATTTTATCCAAACAGAATCAGTCGATACAGGTCATTAACCAGGCTCATAAGATTATTAACAAAAATAACTACTGTAGAACTCCAGGGTCTGTTTTCCTGGTTTATAGGAAAAAGGTATTTCAGATCTATGAGGACATTTATTCTCTCCATTTTGCATTTCAAATGCATCCTTTTGATGCAATAAATCCTTAGTTCTGTTGGTAGAAATTATTTTTAACAGGACTTTTTAAATAGAGTAATTTATTTTAAGGCTCTTGATGTCTTAAATTTTACTTGACATTTAAAGTTTTTGTGCCAGAGACAAATTTACATTATATGCTAAATTGACTGGATAATAAACTGTAAAGTGAATATACACTACCATACAAAAGTTTGGGATTAGTAAGTTTTTCAATGTCTTTGAAAGAAGTCTCTTATGCTGCATTTACATGATCAAAAACAGAGTAAAAAAAACATAATATAGTGAAATAATATTACAATTTAAAATAGCTGTTTTATATATTTTAAAATTTAATTTAATCCTGTGAGTTATTCTAATATGCTGATTTGCTGCTCAAGAAACATTGCTTATTATAATCAATGTTGAAAACAGTTTTGCTGCCTATTATTTTTGTGGAAATACATTGTTGTAGTTTAAATGGGTCATATGATGCTGCTAAAAAGAACATTATTTTGTGTATTTGGTGTAATGAAATGTGTTTATGCGGTTTAAAGTTAAAAAAACACATTATTTTCCACATACTGTACATTATTGTTTCTCCTCTATGCCCCGCCTTTTTGAAACGTGTCGATTTTTACAAAGCTCAT